TTAGAGTGAAAATCTGATCATGTTAGTCCATCTAACTCACAAGATAAGGTTAAAGCTGCCATTGTACATATGGCCCACCATCTTTCCAGGTTTATCACTCACTGCTCCTTATTCCATCAAATTGCTCATAAATTCCTCACATATTATGCTTTCTTGCCTCCATGTACTAATAAATACAGTCTACTCCCTGTAGAATGGCCTTCTGCCTACTATTCACCTAATTTACTTAACCTCCATCATTATGTCCAACAGGAAGTCTTCCTTAAATCTCCAAGTCAGGTGAAGTTGTCCTCCGTAGTAGTTCCATATCTCTATGGGCATATTTCTATGACAGCACCAGCAGATTGTTTCTAATTATCTGTTTATAATTCTACACCCCTTCTAAAATATGAGCTCTTGGGCATAGAAGTGTTTCTAACTCATTATCGAATCCATGGTGCACAGAGCCATGCTTAGTGCATAGGAGACACTCAATAAATCTAGATTGAATGAACAGAAATGTCAAGGTCTCAGAGATTTGGGAAAAGAGAACATGCTGTAAAGTTCTGGGGTATATTGGATCATTAATAATAATGCCAATAGAGCAGGGGCCTGCAAATCTGCTATTAGATGTATTTTGATGCAGTATGTGGGTGTTCTGAATTTAAAGTCTACACCAGATTAGAAAAGATTGCCTGTCCCCACTGGAGGTGTTTTTTAGTCATTATATCTTGTTTATATGATATAATCTCACTAAATAGATTCAGCTTTCAAGAGAAGTCAGCATACCATCACAGTTATTACACAGCAAAGCTTCAATGGGATTCTCCCACAATCTTGTTGGTAGCACCTGGCTCCTCAAGAAATAGAAAGTTAAATCTTGGATAGTTCCTTAAGGACTTTTAAACTTCATTAGAAAATTATATGATAAATATATCAAGGGCTCCTGGAATAAATCTATTATAATACTTCACAAAGACAAAAATGCCTTTTAAATAAATAATCAATTGTTTTGGAGATCCTTGACAAAAACACAAATGCCTCTTCAGAATGGCTTTCACCTTCTAAGGATGCATCTGCACATGAAGTAGAACAAGGATGTATGACTCAGAAATTCCATTCACTGAAATTTAAAGATTTTTTTTCTAGCTGAACTTAAAACCAATGTCACCACAGCCTTAATGGACCCATTGTAACTGTGAGTTATGTGACCTCAGGAGTGTAATTATAAAGAGAAATTTAGAATAGCATTTCAGGAGATAACTGACACTGTTAGAAAGTGAATAAATATGAACGGGGCGTAGAATTGGAAAAATGGCATCACTATATACATGAAATTGCTACCAAAGAGTTTGAAATTTTCACTAATATTTATTCCTGTCTCTCTCTCTCTCTCTCAATCTCTCTCTCTGTCTCTCTCTGTCTCTCTCTGTCTCTGTCTCTGTCTCTTTCTTTTTCTCTCTCTCTCTCTCTCTTTCTCTCTCTCTGTCTCTCTCTCTCTCTCTCTCTCTCTCACACACACACACACGCCCACACACACAACTAAGTTATATGCCCCTTCAGTCTACTTCACTGAAAAAAAGAGACCATGCAATTTAGATTCAATTCAATTCAGCTAAAGAAATAGTTACTATACTTATCAAGTGTAAGGTAATTATCTAAAATACTATAATGAACAAGACAGATTCTATCCCATGGTGAAAAATATTGTGTGAAGAATTAATTTAGAACAAGGATAAAATGGAAAGTGATCCTAAATTTATGTACTCCTTAGATTACATTTTTACCTGATATTAATATTGGCACATTTTCTTTTGCTAGCCATTGACTGATACATATTTCAATTCTCATATTATATTTTATTTATTTTTTTGAACTCTTGTTAATTTCTTGAAACCTCTGTTCTTGATTTACTGATATGCTATCTCTTCAATGTCTTTGAGGAGGGTAATATTTTTAAGTTTTCTGTTTTCTCCATTAGTTCTATTTCCTCAGTTTGATTTTTCTCAAATGTCTGGTGATTCTTGGTGTGTTTGAGAATTCCCTTTTTGCTTCTTTGTGGTTTCACGCATTCATTACAGGATTTTACAGATGATGATTATGGAAGAGTGGCCTATGCTATAGAGCAGAGCACAGAAGCTAGCGGGACATCCTCTGAGTTTGGAGGCTTCCTGCTGCTCCCAGGATGTCTCTGCCTTCCCTGATCTCTGCCCCTACTCCGCTCCTGCCCCTGCCCATGTCCCAGCCTCTGCCCCTGCCTCTACCTTTCCCTCTGCCTCTCTCTCTCTCATCAGTGCTAACACATATATGCTCACTACCCTTCATAGGTGGGAAAAACATAACTTAAAAAAAAAACCTCTCATATTTCAACAGGAACATGGGAAAGAGATAACTGGCTCAGCTATGCCAAATACAGTTTTATAAATATGCACCTCAAAATGCCTGAATTTAATCTGATCCTAACAACATTCTTGACATGAATTTCACAAAACCTTGCTTTCCAGAGTCAACTATTCTGAACACACACACACACACACACACAACCTGCCATCTTGTTCTCTGCTTGTTCATCTTATCCTTCTATGTGTATGTACATTTTTCAGACACAGTGGTACACAAAATTCTTGGTATTGTAAAAATATAACTATTTTCTTAACAAATTTATTATCCATCATGAACTCTCATATCTACATATCAAAAAGTCTCAATACAGTCAACTTTAATTTTCTCAGTCCAATCCAGTGATTTCTTTTAATCAATCTCATTTTTTATTCATTCACCTTTAAGGTGCTCCTGTTTTATTCCTAATCAATATTCCTAGAGTCAAGAAGGTGCATGGTAGTTAGAGAACTGCCTCCTATAGTAGTGGTAATGTTACTACTTGGGTGATGTGAAATCTGGCATCACCCCAGTGGCATGCCAGAGGGTTGGGGAGGTCCTCAGTTCTTCCCTACCAATTCCACAAAGAATTACAGATCGATGAGATTTAGAAAAAGTAAGATTTACTGAAGGTATATTTTAGAAGGAGAGGGGTCGTGCTAAGGAAGCCTGCAGCCCTGTGAAATTTGGAAGATAAAAAGTTAAAAGAAATAAAAGAGATAGAGTACACTCCAAGGGAGGAAAGGGTTTTCAGAGAAAGGAGCTGTAACAATGTAGAAGTGGGAAGGACTGTTTATATTTGGGCCGTGATGGGAGGTCCTAGATAATCTGTATGTGAGGTTACCTTGACTCACAGTTGACTGCTATTCAAAACTTTGCCTACTATACACGTGCTTACTGAGAATTCAGTATGTTATAATTAGATTCATGAACTTCCGGGCATAGTCATGATATTACGATGATGGTATAATGAGGCTGAGGTTGTGAACAGGGTAAGGTAGTACTTTCTGCACATGCATTTGTGGCTGGTTTAGCCAGCAGCTTTTATGGCCTTAGGATTTGAGGTAATTTATAACCCTAAAAGGAAGATGTTCCTGGGAGGTCCTTAAGGAAGGTCTTCAAGGGAAGTTTCTGTGGTTACTTAACTCCTGTCACTCATGCCTGCCTAACTATTTAACAGTAAGAACAGGGACTCTGTCTCTCAGTCTCCCTTTCTCTCCATCCTATGATGAGATTTTTTTCTAATGATGTAACTTGATTCATGTGGAATTGGACAGCATGTATGGAGCATATGGTATACTCAGAAGATAAATGACAATGCCTGAGTCACCTGGCATTTTAGCACTGCCAGTCCCTTGTATTCATTGTGGGTAAACACATCTGTTTACTACTTTTCTAGTCCCCAAATGTTTTGGTTAACCTGCCACTTCTTTCAATATATCATTTTACTGTTCCAAGGAGAGTGCCCTAGTAGATTGTGGCATATTTATGAGGCTGCCACTATCTAAGATTTCAGTTGAAAAGTGGGGCATGAGACCACTTAACCTCATATTCCTACTTAAAGTTAATTGTATCATGTCCTCTCCATGCCACCCCTCCCCACATCCCATACACATCAGACTCCTAATATGGAGAAGAAGCAGAACGTATGGTCCCTACAATACTTCTAACTTATTATTTTTAAAACTCTTCACCTCCAGTGATGTTTTCTTATCTGGTATCAACAGCAGAAGACACACCTATTCTCCTTGCTTGTGGACCTACCTCAAATCTTTTTAGTCATAAACCAAGATGTCTCTTGACTATAAAAGCTTAAAATATGGCTTAGAATACAGACTGTAGAAGCTCTATGTTCCCATCCATGGGCTCTTCCTTCCCTGAGCAGGCGGAGCTTCCCTTTCTCAATGCCCAGTAGGGAAAATGTGACAGTTCGACAGGGAAAACAAGAAAGCTAACATTATATAGCATCTGAATCTTTATCTCGCCAACGAATTAATACTTCCTTTGTCATCTTGTCACATATTTCTTGTCTCTGCAATGAAACTGTCTGGGATTGTCCCAAATGTGCCTTTATCCTGAGTCTGAATAAGGCTGGAAGCATAAACTTCAATCTGCATGGTGTGCCAAACTGTCTTCGCATCAGGACAGCAGACCTAGTACTTTTAGTGGGCTGAGATGGTCTGTGATTAAGCTGGCTGAAGAAATGTTATTTTTTTTCTATCTTCCTGGAAGGACCTTTTTTTTTTTATCTTAAATATCTTTTATTTATTTTTTCCAGCTTTATTGAGGAAAAATTGGCAAACATAATAGTATGTATGCGCACAATGTGATGATTTGATATACATATACATTGTGAACTGATTACCAGGATCAAGATAAGTTACACATCCATCACCTCACATAGCTAACTCTTTCTGTGTGTGTGTGTGTGTGTGTGCTGAGATCCTTAATCCAATTCTTAGAAATACAAATGCAGTCTAAAGCCTTTTACTCTGTGACACTTGGCAGTGACAGATTAAGACAATCATTCCTATAACACTCTGTTTTTCATTTCCTTAATGCTTCAAGACTACATTCCTCAAGGTTTAGCAGAGAATGGGTGGGGGGAGGCGGGAAGAGAGAGACTTTAAAAGCTTACTTACATCCCAGTCTTCTAACATTCAGGATGAAGAGTAGGAAAGATGTCCCACAAACACAAACTCCACAGTCACTGTATTCCAAATCTATTTATAGAGAAATAAGAGTAAATTCTAACGTCATCAAAATTCATACTGCCTTGCTTAGACTCCCTGCTGATGGTCAAAGGAGTATAATCTTTGTGAAATGACTATTCAGTATTAACCTCCTTTGGATTATTTTAAAATCTCAATTTCTCCAAAAGCATAGTTTGCATTGTCATAATTTTATTTGATGTAATAATTATTTGGTAAAGACAGCATTTTTTTTTTTTTTTTGCTTTGGTGGAATATATTCATCCTCCAGGCAAAGAACCAATAATTGTAAAGAAGGAAGAATCCAAAATCTCTTTGTAAGAAAACCATTTCCAACAAAGTACTGCTTGAATTTGAAAAGGAAGTTCAAGTTCAAATCTACTTCTAAAATTATTAGAAGAAAGATGAATACTTTCATTATATACTGGAAAATGATTGAAGCAATTCTGAAATGTCACCTAACAATTTTACACTGATACTCATAATGAATTATTTTTTATAATGGGGAATGACATAAACTTTTAATGCTTTGTGCATATTTAAAATAAGAATATTTGTAAATAAAAGCAGCATGTCTTGATATATTAAGAATTAGGAGTTGTGATCAGAAAGCTTGTTCTTCAAAGGAACTTTTTAAAATATCACTTAAGTGCCCACAATTTTTCTTTCATGAAATATGTTTTTCAGATTTATATGTCATCAGAGGACTTTGAAGTAATTCACTAAAGCTTCTATAAAATGGTATAATTTGAAGCCCAAGTAAGAATCTTAATTCAAAATAAAAGTACTTTATTTTTTAACTGGAAATTTTGCAGTGAGTAATCTGCAGGTAGAAATGTGAAAAATTAAAACTTTGTTACATTCAACAATATGAGAGGCATAAGATTTATCTGGGAGAAAAAGGGGAAAATGCCAACTATTTTAGTATTGAATTGCCATTATCATAAATAGCATGTTAGAAGGATATCAGAAAAATACTGCTACACAATTAACTTCTGGCAAAGGCAGTTCTTACTTCAATACATCGTGGAAGATCACCAAAGCCAAAATAAACACCAAACTGTCCAAAAAACACCTGGATTAAAAAAAAAAAAGTCCCTGTGGCATATTTTGGAACTAAATACCAATTCAGTGCCTGACCCAGAAAAAGTATTCAGTAAATATTTTTTAGAAATATTAAGAGAAAATGACCACTGGTCAGTGTTTTGGTCAGATTAATGCATTGATAAATTGATCTATGATAACTCAGTGTTACAAAAATTGACATTATCTTTTGTTTCACAAGGAAGATTTGTAAAAAAATTAAAATGTGATGGATTAACTGTTAATATAGAGTCACATCAAGTTTTATGGGAAATAAAAAAAGCCAAAATAAACACCAAACTGTCCAAAAAACACCTGGATTAAAAAAAAAAAAGTCCCTGTGGCATATTTTGGAACTAAATACCAATTCAGTGCCTGACCCAGAAAAAGTATTCAGTAAATATTTTTTAGAAATATTAAGAGAAAATGACCACTGGTCAGTGTTTTGGTCAGATTAATGCATTGATAAATTGATCTATGATAACTCAGTGTTACAAAAATTGACATTATCTTTTGTTTCACAAGGAAGATTTGTAAAAAAATTACAATGTGATGGATTAACTGTAATAATAGAGTCACATCAAGTTTTATGGGAATATAATAAAGTTAAGTAACTCTACCTAAAGAATTTGCAGAAGTAGTTAAAGAGTAAGTAATACTTGAGCTGGTTCTTGAAGCATGAGTGAAATTTAGGTAGGTGAGAAAGATTAGGAAAGATGTCCCAGAAAAACAGGCCTGCATGCACAAAGGCATGGCATCAAAAAAATCTATAAAGCACAGTGAGAAGTTCAGTAGGATGGGTTTAGGGGTGTAGTGTGAGAAAGTAGCACATGGTATGGCTGATAAGTCAGATCCAAACTATCTTGCGAAAACTTTTTTAAGCTGTTCTAAGGACATTGACTATTTTCCTAAAGGTCTTAGAAAGCCATTGAAGTTATTTAAACAGAAATGGGTATAATGAAATTTGGGTTTTATAAAATTTTCTCTGCTGGCAGGATGTAAGATGGTTCAGTCAGGGAAGGAAAATTAAATTAGGAGAAAGCCTCTCAGGAAACAAATCCTGAGAATTCACAGAGAATTCTAATAACAAGTATTGACAAGTACATACCACTCTATCCCTCAATAAATACAGAACTCATTAAATAAATGAATAGATGAATGCATGCCTATTGGAGTTAGCTTTGAGAACAGTTTTAAACATGGCATATACCATTTTAGTGAAACAGAGAACTGAGATTGCAGTGGGCTGATTAGCAGACATTCTGTGATACATTCTATCCTTATACTTTTCAGAGAAATTTTCAATCGCATTTAGTTGCATATGGGCTCACAGTGAAATAAAAAAAAATATCTAAGTAGTAAGTAATACTGCAGATTGTACTATAATATATTATACTGTTTTTATTAAATATTGCTAAGAACACTTAAATGAGTTAAATAATTATCAGTTCTATTTTAAAACTGTTTTCTCCTTCATAACTAAAATTTTCCAATTTCTTAGTAGTTTGATTATTTCACTTTATAAAAATTATTTAGAGATAAATGCTATTTCCCCTAAAGAGTTCCAATAAGACATAGTTTTAAAAGATATCTTGAAGAGGTCGTTAGAATTCAATTTAGAAGTTTATAGGTCAAAGCTAAATGAATCTCTAGCCAACTTCGTGATGTCGACATATCTCTGAGGGCCTGCATCCTCAAAATGAGGGATGTAGTGAGCATTGGAGCTCTCTGCTCACCATCTACTCCCCCATCTCTTGGTAACAACCACCTTTGGCTTGCTTGTTCACATGTCCCATGAGGAACACATGTGCTTCAAAGAAAGCTGACTCCACCATTGTAGCTAGAGGTGAGTTCAGGCATACATGATCTGCACAAGCCCATCACTGGCTATTAGTACTGGATGGTATGTGACGCAATACCTTTCTTTGAGGCCTGAGAAGGTATTTGCAGGGGCTTCTGTGATAGAAGCTTTCTCTTCTGGAGACAATGTCTCTTCCTCTGCATAATGGCACTTAGAACAACCAAAGTCAGCTCTCTACCAGTTCTTTCATCTAGTTAAGAATGAGGCTAATATCTTGAGAAAGACAGATTCTCTGTGAGAATCACAGAGAAACAAACCAGAACCCTCATAAGCTATCCCAGTGTTTGACCTATCTCTGATCATTTTGGTTACATGAGCCAATAAAATTTTTACACAATTTAAAAAATTTTGAAATGGGTTTTCTGTTACTTACAGCCAAAAGCATCCCCATAGGTAGAAGTGGCTAACATAGAAAATGACTAAAGACATCATAAAGGAGCAGTTAATATGGGAATTAAGAAAAGGAATTTTGGAACCATACTGCCTGGGCTGACTCCCAGCTCTGCACTCCTTAGCTCTATGACCTTAGGAAGTCATGTAGACTTGCTGTGCCTCAGTTTCATCATCTGTAAAGTGGAGATAATAATAATCTCTACCTTGCAGTGTCATAACAATGATTTAATCAAAATGAGTTTTATATGTAAAATACTTACAACAGTGCCTAGCACATTGTCAGTGCTGCTGTAAGAAGTAGCCTTTGTAAAGGTCCTTCCAGTCCTGAAGAATATATGATTCAGTTATGAGTGTTATCTAAAGCATAGGTCCCCAACCTCCAGGCCACAGACCAGTACCAATCTGTGGCCTGTTAGGTTGCGGGCCACACAGCAAGAGGTGAGCAGCAGGCAAGTGAGTGAAGCTTCATCTATATTTGCAGCCGCTCCCCAGCACTAGCATCACCACCTCAGCTCCACCTCAGATCACCAGGCATTGGATTTGCTAGGAACACTGGTTCCTGGTGCCAAAAAGTTTGGGACCGCCGACCTAAAGCATATGGTATAGTATTTTCACTTACAAATTTCAGTGCAAAGTTCACAGCCAGATTAATCCTTAAGGTCAAGCATGGATTGCCAGTAAACCCAGGACTGAACCTAGAACTTCTGAACTATTCAATCATTCAGCAAATATTATGTTTCTCTATTATGAAAGATGTTGGATGTATAGTTACATTCATTTAACAACTGCAGTGGACCAGATACTGTTCTAACCTCTTGGGTTATAGTAGTAAATAAAACAGAGCCAGTCACTACCTTTATGACATTTCCATTGGAGTGGCCATCTGAGCTCCATAAGTTATGGCCACTGTCCTTAATTTATTTGTATCTTGGGAGTACAGTTGGAGCCCCACACCAGAAGAAAAATTTAAGCTGCAGGACACTATGATAAGTGTTACTGTTACTGCACAGTGAAATTTACGTTATCATGGGAGCGAGAAAACAAGGGATGGTTAGAGAAAAAAGATGTGCTTCCAGGATGAAATGGAATTTGTCAGGCATACTGGTATAGACGGAGATCATAAAGGCTCTCAATGAACAGAAAAGGGACTGTAACCCATGTAGAGGAAGAGATGTGACACGTAATGACTCAGAAAACATAAGGTGCCTCACTATGGCCCTACCTAAGGGCAAAGTCAGAGGGGCTGGTGGAGCTCAGAACCCAGAGGGCCATGTAAGCAATGCTAACAAGTTTAAACCTGTGATAATAGGAGCTATAAAAGAGATTTGTCAAATAAGTGTTGGTCCAGAAGTTAGGCGAGGAAATCCGAGAGCATTGGGTGCCTCCTGAGAAAGAAGAGTAGATAAAGAGATGAAGGAAGTGTTAAAGAGGATAAAATGTATCCCAAAGCAACTTTCCCTCACTAATTTTCTTTTGAACTGATTCTGGAAATATTTGATTCATTTCTTAGAGAGTTTTGAAAAATAATAAAGAGTAAAACATTGAACTGCATAATGCCAGAATTTATTGATGCACTTTGATCCCCAAACCATGACACCTTATTAAAGTTAGCTAAAATGTTCATTAATTTTTTTAAGAGATTAAACAATACTTATGTGGCTATTGCAAATAATGC